TTTTCAAAGTACTGATCAATCTACATCTAATGCAAAAGGAACAGTGAAGCCCAAGCAATGTATTTCCACCCACTAAAAAAAATTTTTATTTTATTATTTTTTTTAATGTGCTTAGCATAGAAACTGAAGAGGGAGTAGGAGGAATCACAAGAATCATTCTCTATGAAAACAAAGTTCACCAATTTCACGTACTTTTTGACAATCACCCATGAAATTTATAGGACTCTGTCTTTAAAATTTGAAAAGGTCAGACAGAAATTAAGTATCACTTTTTCTTGATTTAATATTTTCTACACTCTATTACAACCCCAAATTTTATCTTGGCATACAGACAGTAATTTGCATTATCTTCTATCCTGAATTCTTGGATTTATAATGATAACGGAAAAGAGTTATTAAGAGCTTAACGCAAATTTGATCTTGTTATCAAACACTCCCATGACCCATCTAACAAGGGAAAGACACTATGGATTACACCTTTAGCAATTAACAAAATTCCTAAAATCAAGTAGATTTGGAATCTTAAACTCCTGGTCCAAAAATCCAAGATTGAGACCATTAACAACATATATTTTTTATTACTTATTATTGATACTCCCTTTTACTTATTTTCTTGGATGTCAGAGGGAAATTATAATTTCAACATTAGTGTTAATCTTACAAAAATTAGAGTCCATTATGTGTAAATAGACAAGGAGATTGTTCCACATGTAAAAGATCAAAACTACAACTCTGATCATCATGGTGCTGCCCACAGCATAAACCTGCTACAGAAGAATACAAGACTTAGCACCCAGCTATGACCAACATTCACATCCTCATGGCGGAAGCAACAAGGCAAGAGGTGGAGAGCTAGGAACTCTCATTTCTCACAGGCTCTTAGACATTCTGCTTATGGCCAGTAATCTCCCTATTCCAGAGAAGCAGGCTCTGATAATCCCACACATGAAAGACAAAAATGTAGCCAACAGAACCAGAAAGGCATATATTACATCTCCAACTGGCAAGAGAATGAAAACAGAACCTGGAGGCCAAATGGTTTTTAAAATAAAAACATTTGGCCAAAAAAACACTCAGAAATTTCAATGTTGCCCATTCTAAATGGCACTGCAACTTCAAACATTGCACAGAATTCCGTTTTGGGGTTCTAAACATGGGTGAACAAACCAGTTTGCCTTCATTTTTGTGGCATGTGACGCCTCAGGAAATCTACAAAAGACTACACCAAAAGGTAGGATTATAAATACAAGATAAAAGATTGTTTATCACTAGTTTTTCTTAAAAAAAAAAGACGGGAATTTTAGCCTAAGCAATGCTATATTAGTTTTCTTCTTAACAGAAGTCAATCCTTTGCTACTGTCCATTAACTGGGAACAGAGAGTTATAATTCATTAAGAGTAAAATTAGGTTTCATTGTTTAGACACTGATTAAACAAGAACATATCAAAATGAAAGTTATGAAAGTATCAAATTAGCAGTATTTTAGATGTCACATTATCTTAGAAACTAATATACCACACACACAGTGTCATCATCTTATTCATTAGAATATTCTCTGTATATTAAAAATAAATGTTATGTACTTTTAATATTAAGCATCCAAAATAAATGCACATTCACTAGATTAGTAAAACTTTCATCAAAACATTTTTAAATTTCAGGATCATGGCCACAGAAGCAGGAATAAGAAGCAGCTAAAATAAATGCTTCAAAATACTGAGAATGTTCTAGTCCCTTATCCAGAATCCCTCAGAACATTTTCCTAATATACGCACCAAGTTTTAACCTTTTAAACAAAGATAACTTCTCCTATTTTTCAGAGAAAAGGTTAGAACAGAAAAAAAAATGCTAAAGAAGTTTGAAAAAATGAAAGCATAGACTACTAAACTGCAGTTGTGTTTTGCCTACAGCATGTGTTTGGGTGGTTGGGGGGTGTTAAATACTTACTACCTCTTTAAGGAACAATCGAATCAAGCACTCTCAGTAAAAGTTCCAAGTAAAAAAAGCCACATTACATTTGGCTACAAACTCAAGAAGCTTTAAAAATTTTATATAGACATACATATTCTAAGACTCTACTGTGGAATAAAGACAATGAGGAAATCAATGAGTCTTCCTCATTAGGAAAATTCATGAGCACACACCTATAGGTTAGGGCAACTCTTTCCACCTTCTGGTCTCCTTTAATGTTTCTCCTCTGGCATGAGTCAAGCAGCTAGAATAGGAAAGCTTTATCAGCAAACAAAACCTCCTAAGAAGGTACTGCTTCAAATAGTTCAAGTGCATTCTTTTTTTTTTTTTTTTTTTTTTTTTTTTTTT